AAGAATTTTGCCTAACACTTGAAAATTATGGAAGACGTGTACAAAGCAACTTGTATAGTGCCTAATAGGTCATAGCAACTCAATAAACATTCACTTTTGTTGTGCTGGTGTTGGAGTACATGCAGAGAAAGGCATCCAACATGAAGTGATGATCATAACGGATCCAGTGTTCACAGTATCAGTAAGACGCGTGGGAATTGTAACATGTACAGTTACGGAATTATTAAATTATTAAATATAGTATGTAACTGTAATATGATATTATGTGACAATTAAAATAAAGATTAATTATAAGGAGACACATTTACAGTTATCTCAAGTCAGCAATCTTCTATGCCTGTTTTCTACAACGTTTTCTGTCCTGAAATGACTGCTCCTTCATTCATGTCGTTGCTTATTAGTTCATTTATTTAGCCAACTCACAGTACCTGCTAAGTTTGATGCATGAAGCTAAGCTCTGTGTTTGTTGATCAAATGATAAACTTTAAGGCTAATAGCTACAGGTACCAACGTTCATCCTTTTTAACTCTTATAGCAAGGCATGCCTAGACTCAGAAACTGTGACGAACTCCCAGGATGAGTTACTGAGAGTACTGTCTAAATCTCCCAGTGCAGACCGCAGCCTGTTTAACTCCAGGACATCCCATTTCCGTGGAGATATCTGTGAATAACGCTATTGAAGTTGTGCAAAAAATAGTTAGCTTAGTCCATTTGAGCTGCTGTAACAAAATACGGTAAACTGAGTGACTCATAAACATAAATTTATTTCTCACAGTTCTAGAGGCCAGAAGGTCCAAGATTGAAGCCCTGGCTGATTCAGTGTCTGGGGAGGACTGGAGTTCGGATTCATAGATGGGGCCTTCATGCTGCGTCCTCACGTGATGGAAGAGGAAGGCAGCCCTCTGGGGCCTCTTTCGTAAAGGCATTAATTCCATTCCTGAAGGCTCTGTCCTTGTGACCTGTTCACCTCCCGAAGGCCTCACCTCCTAATACCATCATATTGAGGATTAGGTTTCAACATATGAACTTTAGGGAGACACATTCAGACCATAGCAGCAGTCTTCTTGCTCATGCGTTAGAGCCAGAGGCATAGACTCGTGGAGCTGGAATTTAAGAACTTCCCAATAGCGTCGTCTCTCACTCTTCCTCTTTGTAGACCCGGTAGCTCATCATTGTGAGGGTTCCAGGTCCCTACCTCTGGACCTGACCCAGACAAGGTCATATCCTACTCTGTGTTTGGTACCTCCGTGTTTCCCTAGAATTCTTGTCAAGATGTTCCTTTCGCCTTGCTGTACTACCTCAGCTGCAGGTCACGTTCTCCAGTTCTCTTACTTGGCTTTGTAGATGTCTCAAGTTTTAAATGGCTTGTTCAAGCTCAAGGTGATGCATGCTTGGCCAGTAATGAGGAGGTTTGTGATATTTATGGTAAATTGTCATCTACACAGATCTGATCTGTAAATCGGCTAGCAGCAGAGTCAGTAAAGGTAGCCCGGAAGATGAGAGTTCCTCCTCCTTCTTCCTTCATGTGAGATTTAACTATTCAATGTATGGGAAAGCAATAAGGTTACATTCTCCTCTGCCATGTTCTCAGGAAGTGCCCTGTCATTTCACCACTGGCTTAGTTCTACCTTTCTTGTTATAGTTCTTCGTGTTCAACTTCCTATCCCTTTCTTGTCTTCCTTGAACATTCTGCTATCTGTCATCCATTTGTATCAAGAAGAAGGAAGAGATCTAGGCAAGAGGTGTGAACAGGAAAAGTGTAAATGTATAGAGCTATGTAATAACACTACCCATAACTAATCATGCATTTATTACTGCTGATTAAATTATTCAGCGGCCCTTGTTCTGCACAGGCTTCAAGGCCAAATGCATGGTTCAGGGCTGTTTGCT